AAGAGAAAAACTGATATTGTGACGTCTTTGTGACCTTCTTGGAGTGTTTTCTTTGTGAAACCAAGAAGAAAAATATTTTGTGAAATGCTTTGAAAAAGATCATCATCATCACTACATTCTTGGGAGAGGAAGATTAAGATTTGTTTGGAATTCATAGTCTGATTTGTTTAGCTTCCAGGTGAATCCGTTCCTTTAACTCTTTGTGTAATTTGTAAAGGAAATCTTGAGTAGGTGTCTCAAGTGGTAAGGAATTCTTGTAGTGGGTTTCTACAAGAAGTGCTTTCTTGGGGGCAAGAAAGTGGTTATCTTGAATGTAGGAGTATATGCATGTGTGGTATGCTTGTAAAACTTCTTCATTGAGATAATGGAACAAATCTTGATCAGGTTATGATTGAGGACTGGATGTAGGTCACATGTGGAGTAGCCCGAACCAGGATAAAATACTTGTGCATTCTTCTCTCACCCTTATCTATTACATTGAGCAATATTTTAGTGATCTTGATTAATATGTTTGTATGTTTAACATTGCTTTAAACTGAATCAAAGTATTGCATATTGGTTGTTCTTAAAACTGGACTTAATCAAGATTAATCAAGAAAGCATATAGGACTCATTCCCATTGGCAAGTCTTTCAAGAATCTTCTTTGAGAATTCATATTAGAAAAGTTTAAGTTGAAATAAAGATCCTTAAAACTCTGAAATTTTTTTAAGTGTTATAGAATCCAATTCACCCCCCTCTTGGATTGAGCCATTCTTTTCTAACAGTATCTAGCCAAAAGTTCTTCAAGGGTAACATCTAGTTCTTCAAGGGTAACATCTAGTTCTTTTAAAAATTCAGCCATGTCACTTGTGTCTTCTTTCTTGTCACTAAAGTTGTGCTAAAGTGGGTCATCATCTTGCCATATTTTCATGATCCATTTTTCTTCTTTCATGTGTTGATTCATACCATCTTCATCCTTGTGAATCATCTTGGTGTTTTAGGCTTCTTTGCTTAAGTTCTACCATTTTCTTTTTAAGTTTAAATTGCTGGAAATTTTGGGCTGCATGTGAAACATTGATGATATGATATATTTTACTTTTTAATCCATCCGGTTTTGTCATTAACTTGTCTCTTTTGAACCCACCTTGAAAGAATTTCAAGTATTCATGCTTAAACCTTGAAATGATCAAAAAAATGACATGCATGCCACTTGTTTGATGAAATGGTCGTGAGTCTCTAGTGTGCTTTAGAGAGTCAATCATGCATGCTAATTAGTTGTAGCATGTTCTACATCACTTAAATATCATGTGTGATTAATTTCTTTGCACATACTTGCTTAAAATTTTTGACCATTTTTGGGAATTCCCTTGTGCACTTGATATGCCTATATATTGTTTGATGATTTGAGCATGAGAGTGATTTTTATGTGCATATTTTACTGCTGGACATTTGCACATTAAAATTTTTAAAAATCACTCAAGTTGTTGTCTCATTAAGCCATTACAAGATATTAAAAGGATACTCCTAAAATTTTTGCTAATCCATTTTTGGACACAAGTGTAAAACCCAAGCAAAGAGAGAACTTTAGTATTAAAAAAAATAAAACGTGGCTAGACCTTTGACATCAAAACCAAGGCTTAGTCAAGCATAAAAAAGAACAAAAGAATCAAAAACAAGGAAAAAGGAACCTTTGCCAGACTTGTGGACTTTGGGACAAAATTTTCCTACCTTAGCAATGGAGTTATTCTTGGACCTTTGAACAAAGATTGTATGGCTGTATGAAACCTTTAATCAAACATATTAAGTGTATTATTCATTTTAGACCTATTTGATGGAATTCCATTCTAGTGTTATTCTAGGACTTAATCTTTTGAGTGCTTGCCTTTCTTTAATGTGCCTTAATTTTAGTTCTTGAGTCTTTCTTCTATTCTTAAGTTTTTCTCATTAATCTCCACTTGAGTTTAGCCTTTTTTTGAATTGTGCCTTTCTAGTTTTTATTCCTTGGCCTCTTGTACTCTTGGTTTGGTTTCTTCTTGGCCTAGGTAAGGAAAGCTTCTAAACACCACACACTCTCTTGGTGGATTGAGTGGAGGGGCTGTTCAAATTGGTGTCTAAGGTGCTTTGGAGGATCACACAGAAACTAAGAGAGCAAACACCAAGGAGAGGACTAACTTGGGTGTTCATTGTGATGGCATCCTTACTTGCATGGACATGAGATGGTGGACAAGGAAGAGGACGCCTCACTCCAAGGATCAAGTTCTTCAAAGGTGGCACAAGGTTTTAGGGTGGATGATGATGGAATGGACGAAAATGGAGGTTGGGTAGAAGGTGTTTGAGGAAATGCTTGAGAAGGGTACTCTAGGGTTGGCTCACTTCATGATGATGAAGGCCACTTCTAGGGTTGTTTCTCTCAAGGTGGAGATGGGAGGGAGGTGGCCGAATTAGCCAAGGGTGACTAAGGAAAGATATAAAGGCACAAAAGGCTCTCTTTATATTCAATATCCAAAGGATTTACAAGGTGTGGTGCCTAAGGTATTTATGGGACTAGGAGGCATCTAGGGTTGCATTTAGGGTGCCAAATGCACACCAAATGAAACCCAAATTAACCCTAGATGCAACTTGGTGGCCAAGGATGGAATCTTTGGGTTTAGTTAGACTACATCTAGGTGCATGATAAGACCATGCAACCTTTGCCCTCCACTTGGGCCTAAGCCTTTCTAACACCAAAAATAGGTCCAATAGCCACAAAAATATGTCTAGGTTTTTGTTCCCACCCTAATCAAATACCTTAGCCCAAAAATAAAATCCTATGATCTAAAGCACCCCATAATACAAGGGTAAAATGGGAAATACAAAAGAAAATAAATCCTATGACTAAGATACCCCAAAATACAAGGGTAAAATTGGAAATACAAGTAAAATAAATTCTAAGACTAAAATACCCCAAAATACAAGGGTAAAATAGGAAATCAAATACAAGGACAAAATAGGAATAAATGCTATGCTAAGAAAATCTTAGGAGCTAAGGCCCAAAAGTGGGCTCACTCCTCCTATGTTTTTTTTTTCAACACTAACCCATTCCTTTTGCCTCCTTCAATACATCACCTCTTGGACTTCTTGGCCTTAGTGTTATTCCATCATTCCCTCTCTCTTGAAAAGGATTTGACCTCAAATCAAGAGGTTCCTCATGGTGGGCATCATGACCAACAAAAACATAAAAATAAGCATTAGAGGTAATAGTATATGATAGAAATGGGAAGTGTATCCTAAGAGGAGTTCCCCTAAAAATGCTAAAAAGATTGTCTAAATTAAAAGGACTAGACTCTCTAATGCGAAAGATAGGATCCTCCCCATGGTGAAGTCTAAGTGTATAACTAAAACCTAAAAAGGTAAAAAGACTAAAACTATAGCACACTAATGCATTAGTCCTAAAAACTAAAATGTCTTGTTGGAGGTACCCAATGTAGTGACCTAGGTATGTATTGGAAAATAAAGAAAACTTAACTAAAAAATTACCTAAACAGCTTTGTATTGCATAATTTGTTAGATACATATGATAAAAAGGTGTTAAGAGGAGTCTAGAAAACTCATATAATCTAAGTTTGTCTTGTAGGGAAGTAACCAAGTTAAGTTCAAATAAGTGTGAACTTCCTTCAAGATCAAAAATAGAAGATACAACACCATGAGATGTATCTAACAAACCATACAAACCAAAAGTTGGGTGCTTTATGAAGGGAACTAAAGTGGAAAGAGTCTTAAAGAAGGAAGGCTTATCTTCCTTGGGCACCACCAAGGAAGTAGCACAAGAAGTGGGACTAAGTGAATTCCACTTCTTCTTCACTAAATCTTGAAGTTGAGATTTTTTTTCTTTAAAAAGGATTTGTTTTTGAATCTCCACTTCATGATTAGTGGCAATATGAGAGAAAGAGTTACGGTCTTGATGAATGAAGAGAGTTTTTTTAAATCATTTTC